TTGATCCTCCTGCTTTAACGGATCCAGAGAAGATGTTTGAGTCCTTTCATCTGGTCAGTGTCTCTTTACGAAAAGCCCCCTGATACCATTTTTGGGAATCTATCAAGGTTCCAGATGAAAAATGCTTGCAAATATATAAAAGCCAATTCAGTTTATGTAAAGATCTCATCCTTCCCCATTTTTTTAAATATCAAAAGGAAGTAATGGGCTTAGAGCAGAATGCATAATGGCAGCTTAGGCCCGCGCTCCCATTTTATACGGATACAGCTGTTCCTCTTCCCTTCTAAGTAGACACATCTGCTCATTAGAAAAACAATGTCATTTCTAGTGTCTGATTCTAATTATTTGCAGATGATAGAGTCCTTGCGCAGCATCCATAAAAGGCTCAGCCTTTCCCGCCCATTGACAAACAAACAGGCCCTTTCAGGGAAATAGGCTAAGCAGCAGTAAAGACCAAATGTATATAGTGAAATACGTGTGCATGTGAATTTGTTCTTCAAGGGGAAAAGGAAAATCTTTGAGTCCTTCCTGCTTGTATAAAACCACACAGGATTCAGATTGGTTCCAAAAGCTCATCTTGGTCATTAATTGCTATAACTTTATATCACAGCTGCTGAAATGGGATTATGGGCTTGAAAAGGCCTCTTGAAGGCAACCAAAGAGCTGGGAAGCTTCCATTGCAAGGAAATTGAAGTCCTGTGATGGAGCGTTATGGGACAAAGGTAAATGCATCTTCTGTTGGGATAGAGAGCCAAAGAGCACACACTGTTGACATATGCTCTGAAAGAGAGATGCTAAGCCCAACTGGACCATCAGCACTGATGTCTACAATCTCGGGGTTGGTTCTAGGCATGCTAGATCCAATTGATCCAAATATACACACACAGTGTTGGGGTTCAGCCTGAGTTTGAACTTGAACCTGATTCTCTGTTTGTTCCTCCTGATGCTAATGAAAATATATTTACTGATGCTAATGGAAATGTACCTTTTGATGCCAATGCTCCTGAAATTAGTGAGGAAGAAACTTCTGTAGGTTTGGAAAATGCCAATGTTCCTGAAATTAGTGAGGAAGGAACTTCTGTAGATTTGGAAAATGAAAGTACCAGTGTTCATGAGAATGTTTCAGAGGGAAGCCATGACCTTTCACTCCCTTCTGCACCTGGTAACTTTAATGAGAACAGAAGGGGCCAGATTTGGCAAGACAGAAGTAAATCACTCAGCTTGCGTAGGTCTTCCCGATTAAGAGAAATACAAACAATGGCTTCAAAGCAGAGGGGCGGTTCACGGAACCAATTCTTCGGCTTTAAGTGCCTTCCGCCGGGCTGACTTTCTCAGTTCAGGCATCGTTTCAGATTGATGAAGACCTTGGCAGTTCTCCCAGTTTTCCTGGCCATGGTCTTGAAAGATTTCTAGGATATCAAGCACGGTTAGTGGATTGCTAACAGGTTCCAGTATTTTACAGTGTGGCTTTGGGTTTTGTTTTGTCCATTTAAATTCATGTTTGCTGATTTTGCTGTGGCTTTTGACTTGCATTTTTCCTTTATTTTGTAACCATTTTTCTTCAATAAAAAAGGATTGTTTTTTGCAGTCAAGTGTGGTGGATAGTTATCTTAGGGCCTCGTTCCTTGCTCTGGATTGCAACACACAGAGTCTCAAAGGGGAGACTCAGGGGTTGGTTTATTGCTCTGTTTGGTCAAAGAAAGATGTCAGAGGAATTTTGCCAGATCTGACTTGTCTCACATTACAGATGTTTCTGAACAACAGATATTGCTTCGATTGGTGCAAATGTTGACATGTTGACATGATTACAGTTTGTGACTGGTGTGCAATATGGTGGCAAACTTGACAAAGTTTTTTTGTTATGTCTTGTGGGAAAGTTTCTGCCATCTTTTCTTTTACATTTCATTGCTTACGAAACCTTCATACAAGAGAGCCTACAAGCTGGCCAGACTTAATATTATGCCATCTCCGCTCCATAGAGGAAGACTCAATGGTCTACCGAGCAACAAGAGGCTTTGCCCTTGAAACACAGGGCAGTTGGACTCGTTCCCGCATATTCTGCACTGCCCACTTTACCAGGAACTAAGATCTAGCTTACTACTACAAGTTATAGATTCTTTGAAAAACCATACCAACCCAGACAAATTAATAATGCTTATATAGAAGGACCCTTATAGAGAAGGACAGGCAGTCACCAAGTTACATTTGTTCTTAAGTTGAATTTGTATATAAGTCAGAACTTGTGTGTTTTTAAGTGTAACTCCAGCCAAATATATAAAGTGTTCCCTCGGTACTTCACGGTTCACTTACCGCAGACTCGCTGTTTCGCGGGTGCAAGGGAACACTGTACACCTCGGCGGTGACCACGAGGAGGGAGGTAAAGAGGGTGGGGGGGCAGCTCTTCCTCTCCCCTCACTCTCTTTACCTCCCTCTTCCTCCTCGTGGTCGCTGCTGGGGCTTCTTGCTGCCATTTAGCAGCAAGAGACCCCAACAGCAACCAGAAGGAAGGAGGTAAAGAGAGCGAGGGGGCAGCTCTTCCTCCCCTCTCGGCCTCTTTACCTCCCTCTTCCTCCTCATGGTCGCTGCTGGGGCCTCTTGCCACTGCTTGGGTCCCATAACACCTCTGCCAAGAGGAGGCAAGAGGCCCAGGGGGCGATGAGGAGGAGGAAGATGAAGATAAAGGAGGAAAGGGAAGGGGGCATTCCTATTTCACGGTTTTTCACTTATCACGAGTGGTCCTGGAATGTGAGGGAATACTGTATATCTTTTAGCTTTGGATAGCATAGGGGTCACCACCCCTGTGGTGCTTGTTTCACTAGCTGAGCCCCTGTTCAGAAGATGTCACCTCACTTTCTGTCCCTGTGATCAATGGGTTTTAAACAATCTGGCTGGTTGTGGAAACAAGGATTGGAGATAAAACTTCATGGAGACCCCTTTTCCCCATGATAATAACTCTCTCAGGAGTGGATTCCCCTTCCGAAGGATAGATTTTACTTATGGGCCCGAAATTTGTCCCATTTGTTTAATTCGCGTTTTTGTTTTGTTCTGTCCATTTGGATGGCACGAAACGGAAAGGCCCCTCCTGAAACGAAAATGCAATCTATACAAAAGGCAGGGAAGCAGAAAACAAGCTTGCTCCCTGTGACTTCCTCTCACATATTTATACATGGCTATCATATCTCCTCTCAGCCTTCTCTTCTTCAGGCTAAACATGCCCAGCTCTTTAAGCCACTCCTCATAGGGCTTGTTCTCCAGACCCTTGATCATTTTAGCCTACTTTTCAGATGAATTGTGTGGGGCCTGGTAGCCAAGCGTCAAGTGAAGAGCAGCTCGGCGCTTGGCTGCAGGCCCTGCCAGGCCCCATGCAATCATAGAATCATAGAATCAAAAAGTTGGAAGAGACCTCATGGGCCATCCAGTCCAAACCCCTGCCAAGAAGCAGGAATATTGCATTCAAATCACCCCTGACAGATGGCCATCCAGCCTCTGTTTAAAAGCTTCCAAAGAAGGAGCCTCCACCACACTCCGGGGCAGAGAGTTCCACTGCTGAACGGCTCTCACAGTCAGGAAGTTCTTCCTCATGTTCAGATGAAATCTCCTCTCTTGTAGTTTGAAGCCATTGTTCCGCGTCTAGTCTCCAGGGAAGCAGAAAACAAGCTTGCTCCCTCCTCTCTGTGGCTTCCTCTCACATATTTATACATGGCTATCATATCTCCTCTCAGCCTTCTCTTCTTCAGGCTAAACATGCCCAGCTCCTTAAGCTGCTCCTCATAGGGCTTGTTCTCCAGACCCTTGATCATTTTAGTCGCCCTCCTCTGGACACATTCCAGCTTGTCAATATCTCTCTTGAATTGTGGTGCCCAGAATTGGACACAATATTCCAGGTGTGGTCTAACCAAAGCGGAATAGAGGTGTAGCATGACTTCCCTAGATCTAGACACTAGGCTCCTATTGATGCAGGCCAAAATCCCATTGGCTTTTTTTGCCGCCACATCACATTGTTGGCTCATGTTTAACTTGTTGTCTATGAGGACTCCAAGATCTGAAAAGTAGGCCCATCTGCCTTTTGTATAGATTGCATTATTGTTTCAGGAGGGGCCTTTCTGTTTTGTGCCATTCGAATGGACCGAACAAAACAGAAACACGAATGAAACAAATAGGACAATACCCTTCCTGATATCTCACTCCTGTTCTTAATCATGAGTTGTTTGTAACTTGGGGTCTGCCTGTATACAGTACATACAAAAGGCCATGCAAATTTTCAGACACACAAAAATACATACACAGTTCTGTGTGGATTGCTATTAAAAGCTTAACACAAATGCAAACATAGGGCAAAACAACTGTGTGCTTAAAAAAACCCCACAAATCTTCTATTGAGCAAAACAGACGTATTCAACTGCCACTAATCCTGTTTACACCAGGGGTCCAGGATTTCCAGCCTGCAGGCAGCCAAGGCAGATCCACCAAACCAAAGCAGCAGCTAAGACAATTCCCTGGCAAGATGCTGCTAATGGCATCCAAGTCCCCATGCCTTCAGACCTTTCGCTCATCTCCTCTCATCATAAAAAGATACCTGTCGCAATTCTGAGAAGATTAAAAAAAAACCCAGACACCAAATGCACAGAGGATAAAAGGCTCCATGCCTGAGTGAAATTATCAGCTGGGAAGCTGCAGAGAAAGAGGCCTTTAATTTGAAAGACAAAAGAGAGCATTAAGGAGGAAAACTGTAATAATCAAAGGTGAGAGGAATGTCTGCTGTCTTGTGTAGTTCTCTGTGGGAATTTTCACAGCACCGATAGCTGTGGGGGGTGGGAAAACGGCGGCATTGTGAGCATCCGGCTCCGCGTTCCTCCCCACCCCGCCAATAAATGCCGGCAATCATCCTCTCTGGAGCTGTGGTACGATTTCAAGGTTCATCTCTTCTGAGCAGCTCCAACACTAATTATCCCAGCTGTAATTAGTAAGATAATTAAATACTGGCTCGCTCATCACTCTACCTTGTGTTGGGTCATGATTCTCCCAGAAGACCTTGAGCAGTTTCTCAAAGCTGATGGTTTCTGGCTGGAATACCACGCGGACAGCTTCAGTATGGCCGGTCCTCCCTTCAAGGAAATAAGAAAAAGAATGGTTGGAGAAAATGGTGGAGGAGGATCACCAAAGCCACACCAAAGACAGGAACCCAAACTCGAGAAGGGAAGGAGTTTCAAAGTGGCTTCCCATCATACTCCGTGCATGGTCTGGGGTGTTATGATCTGGTCATCGACCGTAATAAAGTTTACTACTACTCTGTGCAAATTTTTAAATAGGATGAGCAAGAGCATTCATCTTGCATGAATGGAGAGATCTAGCAAAGGCCTCACAGCATGATGCTGTAACAGGGCTTCCCAATCCAACATCCTCCAAATGAGATGGATTACAACTTTTTCCCAATCAAGTGGAGATCATGGGAGCTGTGTTCCAGGAGAACACCAGGTTGAGGAAATCTACTGCAGACTTGCAAGTCTCACTTGAGGAGCCTTGGTGTTGGCACAAGAGGAACATTGTCCCCGTTTCTTGGTCCACTTCTACACTTCTTCAGCTCCAGAGGGGCAGGGCACCCTGGGAACTGGACCAAAACTATTTAAAACATTGGGTCCACTTTCATTAGGAGCTCAAAACTAGGTCAAAAGGTGCTTGTGCTTCTTCTATTTTTATCAGCTTTATACTAATCTATATAAATAAAAATGTAATATACATTTGTGGGATTAACAGAACTCAAAAACCACGGGACGAATTGACACCAAATTTGGACACAAGACACCTCTCAGGCCAATGATGTCCTTCACTCATAAAAACACTAAAAAACACAGCAGAAGGGACTTTAAAAAGCCCCAAAAAGCTAAATGATGAAAACCTAGAGAAACATAGAAAAAAAGGAAGAAAGAGGGAGGGAAGGGGAGAAAAAAAGAAAGAAAGAAAAGAAAGAGGGAGGGAAAGAAAGAAGGAAAGGGAGAAGGAAGCATGGAAGCAAAGAGAGAAGGAAGGAAAGAGGTAGAGAAGGAAGAAAGGAGAGAAAGAGGGAGGGAAAGAAAAAGGGGGAAGGAAGGAAGGAAGGAAGGAAGGAAGGAAGGAAGGAAGGAAGGAAGGAAGGAAGGAAGGAAGGAAGGAAGGAAGGAAGGAGAGAAAGAGGGAAGGTTGGCCACAGCAACGCGTGGCGGGTACAGCTAGTTTACAAAATAAATAAATAAGCTCAAAACTGCATCCCATTACTAACTCTTCTTCAGCAGCTCTTTCAAATAAAAGTTGTATCTTTATTTTTATCCTGCCTTTCTCTCAAGACAACACCCAAAATGGTTGACAACACACTGAAAGTCAAAACCAATCACATTATTAGAATCATAGAGTTGTTGGCCATCCAGTCCAATCCCATTCTGCCAAGAAGCAAGAAATTTGTCTTCAAAGCACCCCCGACAGATCACCATCCAGCCTCTGAAGGAGTCTCCACCACACTCCAAGGCAGAGAGTTCCACTGCTAAACAGCCTTTCACACAGTTAGGAATTTCTTCCTAATGTTTTGGTGGAATCTCCTTTCCTGTAGTTTGAAGCCATTGTTCCATTGCGTCCTAGACTCCAGGGCAGGAGAAAACAAGCCTGCTCCCATAGAAATTCCCATATTATAGCAATTGCCTTACACATGCCTTACTAAGGCTGGTCTGCAAGTTTTTTTTACATGTGAGCCAAGTCCTTACCTCCTTACATCTTGAATTAACAGCTCCAAATTAAAGCAATGTAAGGTACCAAGAGTGAGACATCCTTAATTACAAATTATTCCTGCAAAAGAATTACCATATAAGCTACCCAATGGATTTGTTTATCTCAATAACTCTTAAACGACTCATACGCAATTATAGTTACTTTATGCTCAAATATAAGCCTGGGACCCCTGGCTAGGAAATGGTTACCTATCTATATACCCAGGGAAATTTCTAGTAAGTACAATGGGCCAATTATAGAAAACCTTTAAAGGGATGTTAATTATCTTTATACAACATGAAACATTACCAGTGGTAATTGGCTGCTGGATACAGCCCAAGCATTAGAGAGTTCACCCTTGACCTGTGGTAGTTCCCCATTACTACTGGAAAATCTTAATCAGAAACAATGGAGAAGAGGGCCCTTATCAATGGCAGCACTGTCCAGATTCCTTTTCCTAATACATAACAATATGTGAATAGCCGAGAGAAACAGCAGCAGTTCAGTTTCCATTCACAAACAATCCAGAAGTGAGTGTGATACTGGTTTCATCAAATACACTGGGTGTATAAAATATCATGTAGAAAACGCTGTGTATTGTAGAATGTGTATGTGTTAAGAGCCTAGGTACATTTTAATTCCAAGTGGAATCTAAGCACAATCCTAAACAAGACCTGATTGATAATTAGCTCAAATAAATTGTCATGGTACAGAGCAATAGTTGCTGCAATCAGATGGCTAATGTAACTTGATGGAAGACAGCCAAAAGCTAAAATCTAAGATTCAGTACGGTTATGCCAACTCTAGGGGAGGGGACTAAATGCTCACATCCACAGAGCACTGTAAGCTGTCTCTTCTTTTGATAGGACCAGATGTGTCAGTTGATCAGGCCAGCAGAAGAATTGGTACCACATTTAACAGAGTTGTTTAATGAAATATACACTAAGCAAAAAGTCCCACAAACCTGGAAGGTATCAGAAATTATTACTATACCAAAAAAGGGAAGAGATTTAACAGAACCAGGGTCATACAGGCCTATTAGTCTATGTAATCAGGATTATAAAATATTTACAAAAATTTTAGCGAAAAGATTGGAAACAATAATGCCAAAAATAATTAAAGAAGATCAATATGGATTTGTGAAGGGAAGAAAAATTGGGGATCCAATAAAAAATGTGGTAATCGCAATGAATCATGCAAATTTGAATAAGGAAAAAATTGGAATTCTTAAATTGGATGTTTACAAAGCCTTTGATAAGGTCAATCATAAATTTCTATTAAATGTATGTCAACAGTTGAATATGGGGGAAAACTTTTGTAAAACATTGCAGCAACTATATAGTAACTGCAAGGCAAGAGTAAGGGTTAACGACAGAAGGACAGGAGAGATACCCATTTTAAATGGTACAAAACAAGGATGTCCATTATCCCCCACTTTATTTGTAATAGCGATAGAAATACTAGCTGAAAGTATTAGGAATAGCACCAAGTGGACAGGATATAAAATAGAAAAGGAGGGAGGGGAAAAGGAAGAAATAAAGCTGAATCTCTTTGCTGATGATGCAATGATTATTACAAATCAACCATTAATCATGATAAAAGATATGATAAAAAAATTAGAAGAGTTTAAGAATATATCTGGAATTGTAAAGGTTCTTGTGGGTTTTTTTTCGGGGTATAGAGCCATGTTCTAGAGGCATTTCTCCTGACGTTTCGCCTGCATCTATGGCAAGCATCCTCAGAGGTAGTGAGGTCTGTTGGAATTAGGAAAAATGGGTTTATATATCTGTGGAATGGCTGGGGTGGGGCAAGGGCTCCCAGTATTAAAAAACTCTAAAATTATAACAGCTAAACAACAGAGAGGAAAAAACCAGGCACAGATTAACACCTCCCAGCAACAGATTTTCCCAGACTCAGGCAGGCCTTCAAATGCTAATGAAGGTGATCAGCTAAACATTCACACCTAACTGCAGCAGGGAAGAGCTCCTTGCCCCACCCCAGCCATTCCACAGATATATAAGCCCATTTTTCCTACTTCCAACAGACCTTCTCAACCTCTGAGGATGCTTGCCATAGATGCAGGCGAAACGTCAGGAGAAATGCCTCTAGAACATGGCTCTATAGCCCGAAAAAACCCACAAGAACCTAGTGATTCCAGCCATGAAAGCCTTCGACAATATATCTGGATTATTTGTTAACATCAAAAAGTCAGAGATACTATGTATTAACACCCCACCAAAAGAACAATTGGAGATTAGGAAAATATCAGGATTAAAATTAGGATCAAAGAAGCTAAAATATTTAGGAATATGGGTATACAAAAATCCAAAGAGTATAGTTAAGGGGAATTACAAACAAAAGTGGAAAGTAATAGAGAAGCAACTTAAGAACTGGGAAGGGAAAACATTAACAAGAGTGGACAGAATAAGGGCATTGAAAATGTTCATAATACCGAAATTATTATATTTACTCCAAACCTTACCAAACACAGTAGAGAGGAAAACATTAAAGACATGGGACAGAAGAATAAGAATATGGGCAGTTGGCGGGAAAAGACCCAGAATAAGGGATAAATGGTTAAATGCAAAAGAAGAGGAGGGAGGCTGGGGGATCCCAAGTCTGGAAGTTTATCATGATGCATTTCAAATCCAAAGATTGCTGGAAATACAGTATACGGAAAAAAAATGGGTAAATATGGAGAAGATAATAAATAATATTAAAGGAAAAGAAATAATATTTAGGGAATGGAAGAGGAGAGAGGAAACAGAACTTAAGGAACCCTTTAAAGGAACAGTAAAAGTGTGGAAAAAAAGAAAGAAGAAGTTAAATCCAGGTAATGAGAATAAGATGGCAACTATATGGCAAATGAATTATAATAATGATGAAATGATAGGCAGAACATTGAGACTGATTGAAAGCAGAGGGAAAAGGTTAGTAGAGGATCTATATACAGAGGATGGAAACCCCGTAGAACAAAAAGAAATTCAGAATTGGATAGGGTCAGGGAATTGGATTCAAAGCTGGGCTATAAGACAGGAAATTTTTAGACGGAGGGGGAAAATTAGAGAACAGGATAGTCCATTTGAGAAGGTGATTAGGAAATGTTTGAGAGGGGAGAAGAAAGTGGCAGGAGATCTGTACGACCAAATTATAACAGTAAAAGAAGAAATAATAGAGGAAATTTTCCAAACATGGAGATTGGATATGGAAATTGAGAGGGAAGACATCCAAAGGGAAATAAGTAATATAGCAAAAGAAAAGTATAATGTATTAAGGGAAGCAAGAAGGAAAATGTTACAAAAATGGTACAGAACTCCTGCACAACTTTCACGCTTTGTACCAGGGATAAAGGATAGGTGTTGGCATGGCT